GACTGTGAAAATATTAGCTTAGTTGTCCCTGTTTATTTAGTTTATTTAGTTCATTTATATGGTTTATGAAACGTGTGGGACCAGTTCAATAAACAAGTAAGCACTTGCAGTCTGCGTTCACACCGGATGCAATGCAATCCTTGGCTTTACATGTAATCCCGCCGCCCCCAAAACATCGCATCGCGTCCGGTGTGAACGCAGCATTACATTGAGAATGACGGATTCCCCATTATTTCTGCGCCTGAATACCAGCAGAATCACAGCTTGTTTGTAAAGTAAGTTAGTGACTGTTTCTCATCTGACTCCAATCTTTCTGTATTCCAACTCTCAGACAGGAGGCGGTGGTCATCTCAGGAAGGAAACTAGCACGGCAGATTCGAGAAGAAGCCCGTGTCGACGTGGACAAAATGGTTTTAGCCGGCCACAGGAGACCCCACCTGAGTGTGGTTCTGGTGGGAGAAAATCCAGCCAGTCACTCCTACGTCCTGAATAAGACACGAGCTGCCGCTGATGTCGGTAAGAAAAACACCCACAGCCCTCATACGTATGTGTAAACAGCATTTAGAAAAAAAAAAAGATAAATATAATAACAATAGAACAAGTGCCTGTGTTTTTAAGTTGTTTTCTCACTGTAACCTCCCACAGGAATCTCAAGTGAGACAATTGTCAAGCAGTCAGACATCAGCGAGGAGGAGTTATTGGACCTGATCTACAAACTAAACACAGACCATCATGTGGACGGGCTGCTGGTCCAGCTGCCTCTGCCAGGTACACAGATACTGGAAGAGAAGGATTTAAAATAGAGTATAGATTTCTTCATTGGCTGCAGATAATGTTAGACCTCAATCATTGTTTTTATTGTTAATGGTAAAACGCCTATATAAGCCTCAATAAGATGCATTTTAAAACTAAACCCATCTGTTTTCTTGAACAAGACCTTTGAGATCTAGCGTCCCTGACTTTAACGTTCCTTTGTTTTCTGACAGATCACATTGATGAACGGGCCATCTGTAATGCAGTTTCCCCAACCAAGGACGTGGACGGCTTTCACGTAGTGAACGTGGGTCGCTTGTGTTTGGATCAGTCCACCATGCTTCCTGCCACTCCCTGGGGAGTCTGGGAAATTATCAAACGCACAGGTAACCACTTGCTAACTTAATAACTCTAATCCTTAGTGTTAAATGCAGCTAAGCAACTTTCTAAACCAACGATCTGAATTCTCCTCTTTTAGGTATTCCTACTATTGGGAAGAATGTTGTTGTTGCCGGACGCTCCAAGAATGTGGGCATGCCGATCGCCATGTTGCTGCACACAGACAGCCGCCACGAGAGGCCCGGGGGTAGGTTACTGTGCATGTGCATTTAAAGATCGACGGTTTTAATATGCAGTATGAATACTAAGTTATACGTTATTTCTGTTGCAGGCGATGCCACAGTAACCATTTCCCACCGACATACTCCAAAGGAGCAACTCAGCCAGCACACTAAATCGCTGATATCATTGTGGCTGCTGCAGGTTCGTCTCACTGTTTGTTTGTCTGCATCCTAAATAAACTGAAATGATTAGTGCAATACTTCCCACATAAAATTGAAATGTTATATTAATTATTCACCCTGTTACCTTGAATTCTTGAAGAAAAACTTTTCCTGCATGCCTTCTCTGTAAACGAAGAATAATTGGTCAAATGACAGTAAAACTATACAAAGACATTTGTTTACAAACTCCCGAGTATAACCTAAGTCTGATTTATCCCAATGCTTTCCAAATACAACTGGATCAATGCAAAGTGTTGATTATACTGTATGAGTTGGGTGAGAGTTTGTAAACTTAGCTTTTATTATGGTTGCTGTTGTTAAATAGTTTCCCCATAGAGGCATGAAAGAGAAACACTCCCAAGAGTTCAAGGCAACGCAGGGTGATTATTTGACATACAAACGGTCATTTTGTGGGCGAAGTGCAACTTTAAAGCTTTTTTTTTTTTCAAGTATACTGAGTTTTCTCTCTAATATTGCTCCGTTTGTTTACCCGATTATCAGGAATTCCAAACCTCATTACCCCGGACATGATCAAAGAGGGAGCGGCAGTGATTGACGTTGGAATCAACAGAGTGCAGGACCCGGTCACTGGGAAGATCAGACTGGTTGGAGATGTGGATTTCGAAGGTAAAAAGGGAAAGCGAACATGATCTTATTTCAGCGTGTTGGCCATCTCTGGTGTCTGTAACCTCATACCTACCTCTGTCTATATTCAGGCGTGAGGAAGAAGGCGGGATTCATTACCCCAGTTCCCGGAGGAGTGGGCCCTATGACCGTAGCAATGCTCATGAAGAACACTATCAAGGCAGCGAAGAACGTTCTGCTCTTTCCCCCGGAGAGGATCCGCATGGCGGCTGCGTCCTAATGGGTGAAAGAACATCCCTGCAACAGCAACACATTCCACCCACTCCTAAAACTACAGCCCCTCCGTTATTTTTTTTACCTGGAGCAATCCACCGAGCTCCCGTTGCACACGGACTGGAAAGATGATAGCTCTAAGGCTCCTTGCTGCTGACATCTTTAACCTCTCCGACTTCAAATCCAGCCATGTTTAGACTGTTACATTCATTCATGCAGCATTTTAAGTATTGATCATTTGCAATGTATTTCTCTGAGGTTATAAGGACAACTATTTTATTTATTACTACATTGACATAATATTTAAAAATGTTTGGAGGCCGGTTACAGTGTTTGAGGCCTGTCTGTTGTGCTACTTTAGTGATAAGGGCTAACATCATCAGGAACAAGTGTGTTTTTCAAGCTTTAAAGATTCACAATTGCCTTTGTAAAAACTTTGAAATAAATCTTGCAAATATGTTCTCACATTGATGTTTTTTTATTTAAGATCGTCTCTTCATTTACGCTGTAGAGCAGTGAGCATGACGGCCCTTCCACACAGCAGCGTTAAAAAAATCTTCCATCGCTTACTTTGAATGGGGTGACGTCACTTTGCCTCGCTTTTCGCCGAACTGCATTGCGGGGAAGCAAAGCGAAGGTTTTCAGGATTCAAAAGTTGAGCAATGTTCAACTTTTGAAGCTGAGGTGGAAGCGTCAGCCAATCAAATCCCGTTTATGCAAATCTGACAGTACAAGCGCTAGCCAATCAAACCGCGTGCAAGCTGGGAGAGCCAGACCGCAGTTCATTTTCTATATTCCTGAAAATTAGTTATTGCGGTAGCAAATCAGCCGGTTCTTTATGACCAGTAGCTAATAACTTACCGGGATACAAACCGGAGGAGCCAGGCATGGAGGGAGGTGGCAGAGACAGTGGGTGAAACTGGTAGGTTTTTGCCTGTTTGGGATTTTATATCTAGTTTACTTCGTTTTAACATTGCTATTGCTTTGTATGTCGGGGGCGGGAGATTCATGTGATTGGTTGTTGGTCGCGTTGCTCCGTGTGTAATGCACTCAAACCAAATATAACCTACTCCTCAGTTACTATCATGAAAGGTTACTGCTTCTCAGTACCAGTATTGAATAACTACATGTTCCCATCTTCGCCTTTAGTACAATTTACCACCACTAGATTGTAACCTTACTTCACACCAGATGTTTTTTCTACATTATTACCCCCTTTTTAATCCATATCCTGATTTATGAACTAACTTGAAAAGATTTCCCACAACACCGCTCTATTCCTAAAAAAGCCCTCTTAGTCTGTTTTGACTTTCTAAAATTCCCATTTTCCTCTCGGTGCAGAGGTTACAGGTCACAGTGGGAACTAACTGAGAGCAACAGGTGGCGTCGGTGGGTTCACTGAGTTCATAGCTTTATCTTTGGACCTCTGCTTAAGATAGGACAGACCTTTCTTTATCTGTTTTTTTTACCCTTTATGTTGCCGAAATGGAGACATTAAAAGCAGAATTGATATCATACTTTCTCTGTATACTTAACATAGCAGGAACATTGTTGTTATGTGTTTTTTTTGTTTGCTATTTATAAAAGAGGAAAAAACGCTTCCAGGCAGGCGAAATTCTAAGTAATTTTTATTTTTTAAGCGCAAAGATGCAAGAATTTGTTGAATTAATCTGCTTTGGTATGTAGAATATGAGTAACATATCCATGTTACATTTGGATTAAAAGTATTATGTACTTTCTGAGTCATCTCCCCTCATTTAAAAATACTTCTAAGTAGTGGTTAGGTTAGTTACCAATAAATAAGCATATTTAAACCATGTCCATATGCAGTGTTGGAAGAATTACTCCGATCAGAAAAGTAAAAGTACAAATCCCATGAAGTATCCAATGAACGTACTTGTTATGCAGAATGGATCCTTTTACAGTATTTTATTGTCATGGTTATTACATTATCCTGTTTTTATACATGCATACATACATTATTGTAGTTGGTCAATTTGGATCAAATTTAGATACTGTGTAGATTAGTAGTAAAGTGCTAAATTATATCATATCAGCATATATGTGTTACTATGTTTACAAAGTAACTAGTAACTGCGAGTGATTAAATAAATGTAGGAGGAACAAATAAGATATTCACTTCTGAAACATAGTGAAGTAGAAAGAAGCAAAACATGGAAATACTAAAGTAAATATGTAAAAAATAGTGAATATAGTGTCCATATGCTGGGTTAAACCTTGTGCTATCTTCCTATCAACTATGCAACATATATACAGTACAGTGTAAATAATCAAACCTGTGTTATACATTTTAAGCAAACCTTATTCTGACTTATTACAAGTTTTACTCTTCTTTTTTGAAATGTATGGTTAAAAGACCTCCTTTAGACAAATTAAAATATAATTTCTGATTCAAGAAAGGCTAAAATATTGACTGATTTGACTAGACTGCAGATGCCATAAACTTAAATAAAACCCAAAACCTAATGAAGGTGATCATAATTGTTTTTATCGTAGTATACAGGCACGCATATCATTTTTCTGGCACTTTCATAGAACAAATCTTTAACCCGACATCGAGGACAACCGAGGACAACAGGAAGGTAGGAACTAGGAACCTTAATATTGCGCGTCCGTGTTCGTACGGACGGAAATCAAAGACGCACACACTTCCGTAAACTTACCCAGCCTTGCTGCTGTTGTTAGACAGTTTCACATTTGAGAATCTTCATTCAGCTTCTCTGTTCGGATTGATCTCGGTTTTGTTTCCTCCGTGATGGATTGCAGCAAATCCCCTGAACGAGAAGGCCGACAGAAGAAACAAGAGAAGAAGAAGAAGCGGAAACGCTCTCACTCTTCTTCGTCTGATTCCTCGTCGTCTTCTTCCTCCAGCAGCAGGTCATCAAAGAAACCCTCTCTCAAAACCCAAGGTGAGGACTGAAAACATGTATACAAGTCTAATCCTGCTGGGAAATTAATTGCTTATGTCGATGCCGGTAAAAACACGTGTTAATATAATTTCCCCACCCCAAAAAAATCATCCTGTACAATCCTTTAAAATCAAGATATTCAACAAGATCTTTGCTAAATAAAGCTCAACTCAACATGTGTATAATTCTTATGATCTATAGTCTGTTTAGATCAGGGGTGTCAAACTCAAATACACAGTGGGCCAAAATAAAAAAATTCGGTACTAGTCGAGGGCCGGACTGGTTCAATGTTTATTGCAGAACTTATTGAAATGAATTTATTGCACATATTAAACCTGGAACTAACAAAGCTTAAATTATTGCCTATAAAAACAACATTAAATAATCAGTTGCATTCATTTCTTATGGCTCTATCTGCAGCTTTTCCTCAGTCATTTCTTATGGTTACATTTTTCCACAGGCCAACAATAGCTTCAAAAAAACAATTTCCCTCAAAGAAAAAAACCAAACATGCCCTGTTGTCTCAAGAAACAAAGTGCAGAAGGAAACATCCATTAAACTCAGTGTGCTGCTCTGTGATGCTAGCTCAAGCAGATACTTGGCATCTCATCTTGGGTGCAAGTTCATCAATGTTTGGGCTCAGGCTCTGAGCTGAGGAAACCCTCAGGGTTGAGTGAAGGTGTGTTTGCAATATACCGGCGGGCCAGATCTAATAGTAATTAGAAATTATCCTGCGGGCCGAAATTAAATCCACCAAGGGCCTGATTTGGCCCCCGGGCCTTGAGTTTGACACATGTGCTTCAGAGGAATGGTCCATAATGTTGTACGTTTTTTGGACCAATATCCAAAAATGGACTACGGCCACTCGACATTTAGACTATTTTAAATGAACACCAATACATATAACTTTTGGGTGCCCCAGATAATACATCTAAATATTCTGGTGGGTAACCTTTCCATATTTAAAGCCCCAACAAGAACTAACCAGAATCGAAGTTTCCTAAACAAATATTTTTCTTTTAAAGGTTGGGTCTATCTTTAAAAGTAAATACACTCAATCCGTGTTATATATTTTCTTGTAAATGCATCTCCGTTATGTTACCCGCTTATTATTTGAATCACTATAAGGATCCTATTAACTATTTTTTGTCCATTTGTTATTTAATTGTCATGTATATAAAATGAACAAATAAAATAAATTACAATAACGTTGCAGTGGCGTTTTCTCCTGGAGGCCAAGGGAAGCCTAAATGAATAAGAAAATGCTTAAATTAATAAGACGAGAGTTTCGGCAGGAGAGTGCGTGCGGACCTGTTTGTTTTAGATAACAGGCGTGTGTAAGTCCTGCATCTGTATGATACAAATGTGTGTACAAATTATACCGGCGCTGTAATCACTCATCTGGTTACGTTATGACATTGACCACCCCGACCCAAAAAAAAGGACGTATTATTAGGGCTGCTCGATTATGGCAAAAATCATAATCTCGATTATTTGGGTCAATAATTGATATCACGATTATTAAAAACGATTATCCATTTACTTTGAAAACATCAATTTATTGGAGAACAGTATGTTTTTTAACAGTTGATTACCCTGAACTTTAAGTATAATTAAACTGAAAAACCAATAAAAAAAAAGTAATAATAAAAAATAATCGTTTTATTTCGATTACGTTGTTTTCGTATTCGTTGCAAGCCATATTCGTAATTGCGATTTAAAATACGATTAATTGAGCAGCCCTACGTATTATTGACTTCCCCTCATTTTTTCCCCACCCCACTGATTATATTTATCCTTTATTGTAAATGTATCACCGTTATGTTCCCTGCTTATTATTTGAATCACTATAAGGATCCTATTAACTCATTTTTGTCCATTTGTTATTTCGTTTGTCATGTATATGTTTTTAAAAAAATGAACAAATAAATTACAATACATTTGGAGGCGTTAAAGGTGGGGTAGGTAATTCACATGCTTTGACATAAATACATAAAATATTTAATCTGTGGAAGCCGTGGCGCTGTAAAAAGCACGACCAATCATCTGAGCCGGCCCGGCTAAAATAACTGGATGGCCTACCTGCCTGTCAGCCTTCCATCTGTGCACAAACTTATCTCTGCCCTCATTGGTCATGTGTGCGTTCGTGTGTGTTGGAGGAGGGGCTCTGTGAGGAAGTCTGAAGGAAGGGGCAGATTTTTTTCAGTTGTGTACTTTCAAATTCTAGCGCACTCAAGCTGGTTTCTCCATTCTTACCTACCCTGCCTTTAACTCGAAAGAAAGTGTGTTTATCAAGTAACTCTGTTATACTTCTTGTTTCCCATAGATGTGAAAACAGAAAAAAAGAAGCAGAAAAGAAGTTCCTCTTCCTCTTCAACGTCTTCCTCTTCTTCCTCGTCATCTTCAACCTCGTCGAGTGAGGAAAAGACAAGAAGAAGAAAAGTAAAGCAAAGAGAAAGAAGGAGAAGAAGAAGAAGGCAAAGCTGAAGAAGCAGAAGAAGAAGCTGAAGAAGAAGGAGAAGAAGCTGAAGAAGAAGGAGGAGAAGGAGAAGAAGAAGGAGGAAAAGAGGAAGAAAGCGGAGGAGGAGAAGAAGAAAGCGGAGGTGGTGTTGCCCAGTCCTCCAGCGGAGAAGCTTCCATCGTTCCTGGAGGTTTGGCAGAGTGACGAGGGGGCGTTGGAGCTGGGACCAGGTGGGACATCACTTCAGTGTTTCTAATATATATGTTATTATAAAACGGACAAGTCAAATCAAGCAATCTGATTGGTTCTTAGCCGTGATATAATGAGCGTATATATCAGGGGTAGAATTGTAGTTACTTTTCACAAGTCATGTATCCCTCCGCGTCTGAGAAACAGCTACAACCGTTACAACTGTTACATTACGTCCATTACGAAACTAATGTCGGGCCGAAACACGCCCCTTAGCTGTGATATAATGACCATTATACCACGGCCTGTCGTGAGCTATTGCTTAAAGGGGACATATCATGCTATATTTTAACAATATATTGTAGGGCCATACTTATATAAAGTATATAAATATAGTTTTTTTTTCAAAATACCAAACAGATCCTGCATTTTAGCCATGCCTCATTTCGCTCTATTTGCTCTTTCTAGCGCTGTTTTTGCAGGGGGCTGATTCTGTGAACTGCAGCTGACCACGCCCCCCTGCAGGAGAGGGGAGCGTGCTCTGAGATCAGCTGCTGGGCTGTCAGAAGAGGGGGAGAAAAAGAGATCTCCGTCCTCCGTGTTTTATTCTTATAGAAGTAAGAAGAGAAGTAACGGGGCAGAAACCCTCCTTTTTACGCAGCGGTCCAGACATAGACATCAAACGGAGACACATATTCAGTTGCCAGTTACTTTTGCATTAGGGCGGGGATATCTAGATACTTTCCAAGGTTTGAAATAATGAATTGTGCTACTTTTAAAGCAAGCAACGATGTTTTCAAATCTGTAATAAAAAACTATCAAAGTAGTTCCTGCCGTTGCTACGTTAGTTCAAACAGTAACAACGGACTATTTTTCTTAGCGGATGCATGTCAATTTAAATCAATACAACTATTTTTTTAATTAATAAAATCATTTACTAAATCCATAAAAGCATTTCAAATAATATTGGGAGTCATGTCGTTACTTTGTTGCGAATGTGGCCATTTAATAAGCGGGATAATGTGCAGCGATTTGGTCATTATGGGGAAAAGAACACCTTCATGCCGATCTAGATTCCTCCGCTTCGCGTCGGGCTCCTGATCAGCTTGTCGGTGTTCTTTTCCCCATAATGACCGCGTAGCTGCACATTATCCCTTACATATGATTACATTGCATTTAGCTGACGCTTTTATTCAAAGCGACTTACAATAAGTACATTCGACCAGGAAGACACAACCTTGAAGAAAACAGAATCATATAAGTACATCAGGTTTCATAGAGCCAAACATTTCAAGTGCTACTCAACTGGCTTTAGATAAGCCAGTCCTTTATTAGTATATAAGTGCTTTGTTAATAGTTCTATCGCTCGAAGTGGAGTCGAAAGAGATGAGTTTTCAGTCTGCGCCGGAAGATGTGCAAGCTATCTGCTGTCCTGATGTCAATGGGGAGCTCATTCCACCATCTTGGAGCCAGGATAGCAAACCCACGTGTTTTTGCTGATGGGAACTTGGGTCCCCCTCACAGCGAGGGCGCAACGAGTCGTTTGGCTGATGCAGAGCGTAGTGCACGCGCTGGGGTGTACTGTTTAACCATGTCCTGGATGTAGGAAGGGCCAGATCCATTCGCAGCACGGTAAGCAAGTACCATTGTCTTGAAGAGGATTCTAGCAGTTACCGGAAGCCAGTGAAGGGAGCGGAGGAGCGGAGTGGTGTGGGAAAATTTAGGAAGGTTGAAGACCAGACGAGCCGCTACATTCTGGATGAGCTGCAGAGGTCGGATGGCACATGCAGGTAGACCAGCCAGGAGGGAGTTGCAGTAGTCTAGGCGTGAGATGACGAGAGCCTGGACCAGAACCTGAGTTGCTTTCTGAGTCAGCTGGGGACGTATCTTCCTGATGTTGTAAAGCGTGTATCTGCAGCAACGGGTTGTAGCAGCGATGTTTGCAGTGAAGGACAGTTTGTTATCTAGGGTCACACCCAGATTCCTTGCAGTCTGAGTCGGGGAAATTATATATATATTATATATAGTTATTATTCATTTGTTTTAAAGCAGGAGGCGCCGCAAACGCTTGCCTCGGGGAGGGAGAATAAACAGAAGGGCAACCATGCGCGGGAAGTCTTCTTCGCTGCTTTTGTGGCAGACTACAGCGCCACTTACAGGCCTGGCATATGTACTACAGCGTCTCCAGCGCTTTCGAGCTGCAATGGCCGGTCGTGGCCCAACCTCTCATTCTCCTGATAGGTGGAGAATTGACCACTAAGCGGAGCACCCCTTTTGTGACGTAGAAAATAATTCAAATCTGGATCAGTCTGTATTAGATCCGTTACAGCCCTTTTTTTGTTGTTGAGATTTGGGTATAGAGCAGTGTTTCTCAAACTTTTTCATACCAAGGACCACTTAACCAATGAAAAAACACTCGCGGACCACCTAACTCCACAAATAACCAAAAACACATTTTTAGAACAGATTACAAATCGCCTGAAAATGGTACAAACAAGTGGCAACATGTGTGATGAAGGTGTTGCGCTGGGCTATATCATGCAATCGAAAGTGAAACTTAAGCTCGCTCCATTGTGGAGATATTCCCGCGAGAGTGCGGAAAACTTAAATGTATTTATTTATTTCAAATGTGAAATGTTACCAATATACTCACGGACCACTAGGGGGCACTCACGGACCACCAGTGGTCCGCGGACCACACTTTGAGAAGCACTGGATAGAGGAAAAGAGAGAGGGTTGTATTTTTGACACTTGGTGAGTTCCCTGACACACCGGGGACACATATTCATGTATAAAAGACGTACAAGAGTCACTAGGGATGCTCCGATCGATCGGTCACCGATCGATATCGGCCGATACTCACTCTCTACCGATCGATCGGTGCTCTCTAAACATGCCGATCGCATGACGTAAAATACATGACACTTTTCTCTGTGTGCGGCAAAACAAGCTCGCCAAAATGTCTTCACCGGTCTGGCATTATTTTAAGGTGTCCGAAAAAGACAGTAAAATAGCGGTATGCAACGTGTGTGTGAAGCAGAAATCCTGCAGCTCCGCCCGCCGGACCGGTAAGCGGAGCGAAACACACAAGAGTTAGACCTAACCAGTGTTGTGCTAGTTACTGAAAACCAGTAACTAGTTACCATTACTAGTTACTTCATTTCAAAAGTAACTCAGATACTTTACTAGTTACTTACACAAAAAGTAATGCGTTACTGTGAAAAGTAACGTTTTCGTTACTTGATAAAATGTCTACCATTAATGCCCTTATAGCCTTCATTTCAGTACTGTTATTGCATTGGAGTATAATACAATCTGTTGATCAACTTGACATGCATTATATGCAATCTGGATTGCATCGATATTAGCTGGCTTTCCATTTTTGTATATTCTTTCTCCAGGTAGTTGGAAAAAGTTTTCCGTCCCATATGCCGTGTGCCGCCCGGACATGCTATCATGCTAACTAGCTCCCTGAAAGCGGGTGACTCCACTGTAGCAATAGCCTGCATGTGTTCTACAACATACCGTGCAATGGCTTTATCGACTTTTCCCTGGCTAGCAGTCCCTTGGTTAAAATCCAGCCGCTGTTGCTTAGGTGGAGGTGGAGTGGCGTCGGCTGAGTCTCTGTGGTCTTAGCTACTAGCTTCGTCCCAGCATGTTGTTTTTGCAGATATTTTAAGAGATTTGAATTACTGGTTTGGGCAGTAGATAGGATCTTTGACCCGCCAAGACACAACTTACATTTAACTAAAAACGTTCTTTTCTTTGTGCTCGACAAAAGTGAAATAGTGAGAATATCTCCAGGTGGAGAAACTACACTTGAGCTCCGCCGCCGCCATGATAGTCTTGTTAGTAAACAACACAAACACGCCCACAGCCCGTCTCCGCATGTGACACAGGAAGTATCTAAGTACATTTACTCAAGTACTGTACTTAAGTACAGTTCTCATCTCTGTTCGCCTGGCTGTTGACTATATAAAAAAAACTAACGGAGTAACGCACCATGTATTAACGGTAACAGAGTTACTGCATTTAAAAAGTAATGCGTTAGAGTATTAGTTACTGCCAAAAATAACGGTGTTACAGTAACGCGTTACTTTGTAACGCGTTAGTCCCAACACTGGACCTAACATAATTAGCTATTTTATCTACCTCTGGAACAAGCTAAACTAGTTATTATAAATATATTTATTCTTCACTGTCGGGTCACTCATTACTAGATCAGTGAGTTGCATGAAATACTGACAGGCTGTCAGGAGAGGGAGAGAGGGGGAGGGAGAGAGGAAAAGAGAGCGCTTCCGCTCATTTCTCCCGTGTTATTATCCAAAGTGAATGTAAACTTGAATAATGTACATCATTTGAATGTAATAATTAAGTTGATTGTTGTTTGTGGAAGCTCCAGTGAATGAGCCCCATTAACTGAGTTTAAACATCACTTTAAATGGAAGATTTAAAGTGATGTTTAAATCTTCCATTTAGGCCCCCGCCCACTCGATCGGATCGGCCGATACTGATTCCGGCGATCGGCCCCGAAATTGGCGATCGGAGCATCCCTAAGAGTCACTCTTGTATGTGTGCAATAGGTCCCCTTTAAATAGACCCTCTGGTTGATGAAGTTATATAGAATGATCAGATTTAAGACAAAAATATCGTATTTATTGTATTTTTCTCCATTTTCCTCCGCAGTGATGACGGATGAGCAGAAAGCCCGGCTGGCCACCAAGAGGCCCCTCACTAAAGAAGAGTACGACGCCCGGCAGAGCGTGATCCGCAAAGTGGTCGATCCAGAAACAGGACGCACCAGGTGAGCCCGAGCTGAAGAGTACTATTAGAATCATTCACAATCAACAACAATGAAGTGTAAAGGAGCAGTTCACCTGGGGCGATCAAACACCTCCATCTCAGTCTTAAAGCCAAGTCACCACCCTTTAAAAGTTATTATGTTCTTTCAGATTGGTGAGAGGAGAAGGGGAGATCATAGAGGAGATGGTCACGAAAGACAGACACAAAGAAATCCACAAGGTACGAGAGAAATGTCCAATTTGAAACTTTGTGCAATAAGTGTTCCCTCATGTCTAACAGTGAACTTCCATGTGTCCCATAGCAATCCACCAAGGGAGATGGGAACGCCTTCCAGAAGAAACTGGGAATCAACAGGTAGAAGAAGCCCTGATGTTCCTCGGGAGTAAAGCCTCAATAAGCTGAATCTGATATAATTCGCCTCTGCCAGTTTACTGTAGTGTAGGTACATGTGCCGGCACGTAATGAACACTACCTACATTACGACCTCCAGGGACATCCAGCTTCTCGTATTGATTTGCCTTTTTTAATCTGTGCTGGAGTTTTATTTTAAGTCTACTGAAATCTCCAAAAGAAACTGTCCTAAATAGTTTGATAATTCGCTGATTATTGCTTATTTATTCATCTCCTTGTTTTAAAGCATTTTGTCGATTGCATTTAAGGTAAATTCCAGCGAGTAAGGTTGTCCGTTACTCAGATGATTTGTGACTTCAAACAGTCTGACCAATCAAATATTTGTTTAATTAGAAACTGATTAATGTTTTTTTTAATGTCAAGCATCCTTCCTGACTCTTTTGCATACATATTTTACATATTGTGGTTCTCTGAACAAATCTGTATTTGTGTAACTTTTTTCCAGAGAAATAAAAGTTATTTTCTTAACTATATCAATGCTCCTTTATTTGAATAATCCAGGTCATTGATGCTGAACCAAATGACTCCACAGACAGTGTTGTGAAAAAAGGCAAAGAATGACTGAGTTGATCTTTTTATGTTCTGTATACACTGTACATAAAAACACAAGGGAATGGATACAATGAAGTTATCCAAAAATCTACAAGATACACACCCTGTACAATGACATTTTTACCAAGGTATGTTGCATATGTATGTACAGCCTATGAATGCTAACGGATGTAACAGTGGTGGCGTTGCATTAACCCGGGGAACAGAGCTTGAGACAGATTGCCTAATGTTGGTGAAATATTTCCTTTAAAGTGAAAACAAGCCAAAGCATTTTGAGGAAAAAATGTCCGTTCGACTAACAGTCTATTCTTTTCCATCGAGTCAATTTGGGAGTGAGCAGCGTTCAGTCAAGGCCTCACAACACATGTTCAATGTAAGGCATAAGAGGGAAGTGTAAGGCCTCTGATCGTGTGTGAGTTAGTAGAAACTCAGCTAACGTCTGCCCAGAGGAAACGTCCTGCTTCCTCTACACGTTCTCTGAGGAAGGACGTATGGTTCAGTAGTTTCCAACTTTAGACAAGTGCATGTTTTACAGCATGTTTTTCCCCAATGATCAAACAGCCGTTCTTCAATCAGCAGCCGACAGTTTGTAATAACGTCCTTCCTTCTTATGCGTTGAGATCTACTCTGAGTTATCTAACATCGTCTCTCCTCATTGATATAAAGGGGTAGACAAAATACTAGAAACACCTCCCAGTATAACACTATACAATTCAGCAGCCCCCCAAACCCACCATTAACTCGATCCTTTCAATAACAGCTAAAACATTAAAAGGATTTGTTAAAGGCTAATTCTTTTCAGAGGGTAAAACATATTGATTTCTGGGTCACTTTTAAATGTAGGTGACTTAAAAGTCAACGTTGAGATTGAGGATGTCAGTCCACAGTAGAAAACCTACTGTAATATTTCATACTTTTATCAGATCAGTGGCACTTTTGTACTTATTTTGACACACTATAAATGTGCCTATGAATTTGTTGAGTGCTGCTCATGTGTTCAGATTCCCTCTGCAATGTAATCGCTATAGAATATGTGCCTGTTGATCTGATTGTCAATGCGTTGCGACACTTCCTCAACACAGTCTGTTTGGTCTTGTGGTTGAGAAATATTGCACGTTTCCCTTACGTTTGAGTCCATATTGGTCCATCGCAGTCAGCTCTCTGCAGGCCTATTTGAGGGGGAAATAACCATCATTTGAATGAATAAATCACAAATGTGTTTCGGAAATAACAGGTGAACAGCGTGACACAGTCTGAGCTCTGTGTTCCTACTCCTGACAGCGTATTGTACAGCATTTACAATTAGCTTTTCCCTCTAACGGCGCAGCAGAACTTAACCTAAGGAGGATTATCTATGAGCACATTCAACGCCTCATTTACAGCTTAGGGATAACCAGAGAAAATCCATATTCCAAATATCCAAAAAGTATAATAAACATAGACACAAGATAGCAGTTCTGTTGATTCAGTTCTCGTGATCTGCAGGATAAAATAATAAAAATGCAATACTGTGGCAAAAGACCTCTGAGTTTTGGCTGCTGCAACTGAACTATTTAAGAATGAAAGATAAAAACACAACATAGCTAAAGTAATCTAAAAACACACTTGGTTCACAAAATCAATACATGTTTAAAATATCCATAATCATAAATAACAACAACTATTATCATTGAAGTGTATCCTGAATGAGGCGGTGTTCCCCCGAAGAAGACACTTGAAGCTGGTCTTCAGTGGACCAGATACCAGATCTGCACTGTAGTAAAGCAATATGTACAAGCCATTCAAATACATACTTACACAATCCATTTGTACACCTTAATCGTTTCCTCTCTGTTCATGTGCAACATATCGTTCTACACGGTTGGCTTTGGCACGTTAACCGTACAGGTGCTGAGTCGCACATTTCCGAAGGTTCAGCAGCGGCGTAGCGAGATGCGGTGAAATGTTATAAAATCCCAGGAAAGGTTTCAGCTGCAGCCGTAGTTAAAGGGTCATTTTGCAGTTTTGCTTCATGAGATATTTGGATGGTTCTTTGGTCTGAGGGGCAGCCAGAAAACAAGCAAAACTGGACTGCTTATAAATGCAACAAGTTGATTCAATGATTTCATGTTGGCTCACACAGCAAAAGGGATTTTAAAAAAATGGTCCTCCTAAAACTGTTGGCTTAATGATTGGATGTGTTTGGTCAGACATTCAATCCAGTTTTGCCTGATTCTCAGCTCTGCTCCCAGACGTGAACATATCTGATTATCACATAAAAACAACATATCTTTAAAACTATTAAGCACAAAGTTGATCTCTATATGAATTGCTGTGCTTGCTGTGGCAGTAGTTGGTTACAGGATCAGCACTTACACCTGATACTGGCTGTCTGTAACCACTTTGTCTTGTTTGCTAGAATACAGCATTGGGGTGCTTGTATCTGTAACCATCTTCAGTCTAAAAGCCTGTTGTATAGACTTTAATAGACTGATAAATAGACAGTAGAAACAGTCTGGATCTCAACAATATAATATCTATTGTGTGTGTCCCTGTTTCAGGAAGTTGCTCCTTGAAATGCCTGTTGAGTTGTGTGTGTGTTGTGTAATAAATAAAGCCTCTGTTCATAAATATCTGTGTAGAGTGTGACTGGCATTAGTTCATAAACAGTGGTTTGTAGCACATACGTTCATTGTGGCATTGACCCATCTCCAACCCCAGTGTTTCTCAGTCTTTGCATTAGTCTTCCTCCTGTATTACAACCCCCTCTCAGTGTCACTTGGGGCTGAGGATGGCGGGCTCCATCTTGGTGCTGCTGCTGCGCCCCCAGCAGTTGGCGGTGATGCTCATGCTGCGCTGCGCCCCCCCTGGCCCGTAGCTGTGAGCGTTCTCCAGCCGCTCGCCGTCCGATTGGCTCTGAGTGCGTTCGGGCCGGCTGTGGACGCTGCCCGTCGGGGAGCTGGGGGCCGGCTGCGAGGAGATGGTGCGCAGCAGGTGCTTCCTCTTTCGCAGGAAGTCGCTGTTAGCGCCAAGGCCGAAGCTTCCCTTACGCAGCACCATGCGCGCCGTGCTGGACTTAGCAGGTCGAGAGCGGTGGCTGTACTCCAGCTGGGACAGATGAGCCGCATACCCCTCTGTGATGAACTGTGGAGAGGACCAGAGACACGCGTTATACATCCATGGATATTTATTTGTTCAGTTAAATATTGCAATAATGCACATTCGATGGACAATCTGCACTAATGTACATTCTCAAAATATTCAAGTGACTGTTATTTTGCATATATTGATTGTTGTGTTTTTATTTAGGTCTTAATGTGTGCACGTGTAAAAATGTGTCTTTGACTGTGTATATACATAAATATTTGCACACATTTTTATTTTCATATTTTTATATTCTATACATTTGTTTTTATATTCGGGATTGCGGGAAACAGTATTTTGATCTCTCTGTCTGTACACACAAACTGGAAGATTGACAATAAAGTTGACTTTGACTGACTTTGATTAGCCTACTCCTGACAGCGTATTGTACAGCATTTACAATTAGCTTCTCCCTCTAACGGCGCAGCAGAACTTAACCTAAGGAGGATTATCTATGAGCACATTCAACGCCTCATTTACAGCTTAGGGATAACCAGAGAAAAGCCATATTCCAAATATCCCAAAAGTATAATAAACATACAATATATGACACAAGATAGCAGTTCTGTTGATTCTGTTCTCGTGATCTGCAGGATAAAATAATACAAATACAATACTGTGGCTGGCAAAGACCTCTGAGTTTTGGCTGCTGCAACTGAACTATTTAAGAACCCAACCTCCAGCCTCTTCTGTTGACATTCTGGGTCCTCTTAAAACAAACATCCTCCCCTCTGTCATGAATCTTGGAGTGACTTTTACTAACACTTTTAAATTCGACAAGCAGGTCAGCAGCGTAGTGAAATCCTGCTTTTTTAAATTAAGAGTATTGGCCAAAACCAAGTCTTTTTATCTTTTAAAGACCTGGAGAGGGTTATCAACGCCTGTGTGACCTCGAGACTCGATTATTGCAACGCTCTATACGTGGGTATGGACCAGGCCTCAATTAAACGCCTGCAGCTAGTGCAGAACGCAGCGGCACGTCTCCTCACTGGCCACAAAAAGCGTGACCACATCACCCCAATTCTGGCCTCACTACACTGGCTTCCAATTCTGTTCCGAATTGATTTTAAAATCCTTTTATTTGTTTTTTAAGCACTAAATGGGCTGGCTCCGGCCTATATAGCTGAACTCCTCCAGCGCTACACCCCAGCCAGAGCGTTAAGGTCTGCTGACCAGCTGCTACTGGTAGTGCCTAAAACCAGGCTAAAAACCAGAGGGCACCGAGCCTTCGCTGCGGCTGGCCCTAGGCTCTGGAACACTCTGCCCCTCCATGTGAGGTCGGCCCAGACCCTAGGGGTTTTTAAATCTAAACTAAAAACTCACTTCTTCACCCTGGCCTTCTAATCAGAGCAGAGCACGACTCATGACACTTCCCTGTGTTTGATTTTTATATTTGATGTTGTAATTTATTGTCTTCTGTTTACATCGGTAGGAATGTGTTATTTATTATCTGCATGTGCAGCACTTTGGCTCGACCGAAAATCGTTTTTAAATGTGCTATAGAAATAAAATTTGATTTGATTTGATAAGAATGAAAGATAAAAACACAACATAGCGATATTTATTTATTTATTCAGTTAAATGAGTCAAAGTAAAAGGTTCCTCCAACCTTAAGGCTGTGCATTAAGACATCATTAGCATTTTAGGAATTGTGCTATTCTACAAGAGGCTGTGGTCAAAATGCTTTATGGCAACCATTTTTAAGCTGTATTGAGAAAAAGGACACACCTGATATTTTATATTTAGCATATTTAAATTGAATATAGTTATTTGTTGGTTTTTCTGACCACTTTCTTAC